GGGGGGGGGGGGTGTTTTTGGTAGACCATCAAGGTCATGCTGTATTGGTCTTCATACAACAATTAGTTCCAGTCCTCGAATTTGACTGGCTGAGCATTTTTTTTTTTACAGTCACGTTCCAGACTGTCAGTCTGTGTATTAGTGGTTGGTTTTTTCAGTGGCTCTTTCTGCAGTGTACATTGTTATACCAGTAGGTGGCAGCAAGTAACAAGTGAATCAATTGAATCTTTAAAAGTGAATCAATTGAATCATTCAGTAAACTGATTTGTTCAGAAAAGCAAATTCATTTAGGAACGAAACTACTGACCTTCATTATGAGTGTGTCATTAAATTATTCATTCAACTGATTAATTAAAAACTCTGATTCTCTCTTTTTATACAACCACGTCTGAACCCATCTTTCCTCTCAGTGAAAATGACCTCACAGGACTTCTGTATATTACTGCAATATTGTCTTGTCGCTTGTTTTGTACATTGTAACAGATTTTTTCTAAGCTTTCACATAATATTCAAATCAGTATTTAATCTGCAACATTTTTTGTTTATTAATATTATGTATTTAACAACAACAATAATAATAATGTAAGATACTGTACAGTCCAACAGTCATGATCACAAAATAAAAGACTGTACATTATCCCTTAGATATCCATATCTTATCTAGCACTGCTCTGTGTTGCTAGCTATAATGAATTTCTTGAGGCTGTAAGTGTGTATTTAACACAATGAGTTTTGGTGTTGAATTTCTCTCCACATTATGCTGCATTACTGTCTAAATTAGACCACATTAAATGTTCTGTTCTTATCAGTCACATATAGTTATCAGAGAATGATTTGATAGCTGTTTTCTTGAGAAAACAAGAAAAATTGAACATATTCGCATATGAAAATGGAAGCCACACATGCACAGGGGTTAGTTCCTGCGTAATTACACAGCCATCTGTCCGTATCCCATTGGCACACTATAGACCTTGTACAGCATCACTGCCCTGATCTCTGTGTGGTTCAATGGTTCATCCCATTAAGAAGAGACTCTTCCCAGAGAGACATAATGGCTGACTGGAAGAAAGGACTTCTCATTTCCCAGTCTGACTGATGAACTTCATAATGGCATGAGATCAAGTATATTACCAAACTCATACATGACTACTGGTATGTCTAAAGCTTTAATGACAACATAAATCCCCATAAAACTCATTAAGAAACTCCAATATAATAACTCTTGTCACTGCATATTAATACCCAGTATTGTGCTTTCCTGAGCGAGAGCCTATAAAATGTCGAAGTTTATAAAAACAAAACTGGACACAACAGTGAGAGATTTTCGCACACCGCACCATGCTTTTCATCAGATGCGCTGATAATGAAATGATGTTTGTTGCAGTTTAATCCGATATAGTAATCCCATCCCTCGCAATCTGCTAGTGCTTCTCAATCCTAGTCCTGGAGGGCCAGAGCACTGCACGTTTTGGATATGTCCTTTATCTGACACACCCAGTTCAGGTCACTATACTGAGTTGATGATAAATCAGGTGTTAAATAAGAGAGACACACAAAATGTGCAGTGATGGGGTCCACAATTGAGAATTACTGAATTAGTCACTGCAAATCCTTTCGGAGGCTATTAAATACTAGAGACTAAAGCATACAGTCCCATCAGTTACAGAAATATGAGTGCATGCTTACTCAATCCAGTCACATCTGAGGATCAGAATGAGATTTATTGCCAACTATGCTTATAAGGAATTTGTCTTGGTGAAGCTTCAAGTACACATTAAAAATATAGCATTAAAAATACAAGATAGATCACAAAATCAAGTGAATTATACACGAGTGTGTGTGTGTGTGTGTGTGTGTGTGTGTGTGTGTGCACAATAGATAGAAAATATACTGTATGTACTATGTATTATATATGCAGATACAATTATGAAAGAGAATGTGAATAAGAAAGGGGGCATAATTTGTTTTTAAAAAAGTTTAAATAGTGTGTTAGGTACTGCACATGCTTTTGGGGTTTTTGTGGAAAAAATAAGGCCAAAAACCTATTTAAAAACATATTCACCTGAATACAATAATAATAAATGGAAGTTTTTTTATGGGTCGGATTTTGCCTACATAGGCCTTATGATGAAGGGGGTCCAATAAGGTCCAAAAGGACATTTCCTACTCATTGTGTCCGGCCCGGGAAGCGGGGGTCAATAAAATTTAGTCCCATCCCAGGCACTGTGAATTTTAGTGACGCACCAATTCACATAGATTGTGGGGACCAGCAATAGTCACAAGAAAAATGGCTAATTAAACATAATTAATTATGTTTTAAATAAGATCTAAAATGTAGAAATGTTTGTGTGAGGGTTGAGATAAAATATCAGTAACGCTCTATAAACACAACATAACGCACGCGTGTGTGTGTTTTAGAGAGAAAAAGCGAGATAGAGATAGATAGAGCACGCTCAAACTGGAGAGGGAGGGGGAGATTCGGTGATCCAGATGAAAGCAGAGATTGTTTATTTCTCTGGGGGAGCGAGAGAGAGGGAGGGAGGGACAGACAGCAGCATAGTCTTGTCAGAACTGCGCCGATCTAATGCGTCTCTCACAAACGAGCCATTAAAAGCCGATCAAGCGCTCGCAGTCTTCAAAGTTTGGATTTCCTCATCCCTCCCGTGCGTACTCTGTGCCATTCCGAGCAGGTAAAACAACTTTAGATGTTTTGGTGTATTGTCATAAATTTTTGTTTTATGTATTTCCTTTCAAGCTTTTCCTTCACATATTGGCACCGCAAAACAGGCGGAACATCTGTTGAAGCAAACTAAGAGATCACAATTTCTTCCGTTTCGACCGTGTTCAAGTTTATAGATTGCGATGGAGTTTGTGAGCGCAGCAGTCGTGAAGATAAAACTAGTCACATAAAACCCCACCTGTCAATGAACATGTAGGTGTGTGAGGTAAAGGTGCTGTTTCCCTGCGCGCGATTGCCTCCAGTGTTGCGTGTTTTAATTATGCCTGGAGTAATTAGAGTCCTGACCGCATTTGCGCCCAAAAGTTGTTTAACACGTGATTTTTAAGCTATTCTTTAACAGTTGAGATATGAGATTAGCGACGTAGCATCGCTTCGCCTGAGATTTATTAAGAGCAGGTGCTCTGAGTAATGTGGCAATAAATAGGCATGAAATCACAGCGAGTCTGGGTTGAAATAACAAATTAATTATTAATAACGGACATATTGTGACATAACGTTCCCTAATGATATTATTATTGTTTTTTGTTCATACCGAGACACGATGTTGTGCTTATGCATAAGTAGACCATTACTTGGGCACTTGTGTACTCTTGTCACATTTTTTTCTATTGTCATGTTGTCCTTGCCATTACTGAGATATTCAGCCATTTATTGTAGCTACAAGTAGGCTTAACTCTAGAGTGGTTTAGAGCAGTGTTTCCCAACCGGGGTGCCGTTTAAAAAAATCATTTTTTAATATTTTTAAATTGCTAAAATGTTCAAAAAAGCATCTATTATATAATATCCATTTCTGATGTCGCCAATAATTAGAGATGCACCGAAATTTCGGCTGCCGATTATTAGTTCACCGCTCAGGATTCACTTTCACGTGGTGTGACGCTCTGCGTATTATCCCGCTCTATGCGTGTGCGCTCCGCGCAGTCGCTCCACTCGTATACCGTTCATGCGAATCAGAACAGCAAAGTCCACTCAAAAATTGAGCCGACAGGAAACATCGATGTAGTACAGTATTGTTTCTGTCTGCAATAACCGTACTGTGTTGTAACATGGTGTGGTATATGGGCAACTCTGGTAACACTGCCCTCTCATTCATTGATCTGCTAACCGCTATGTTATGCTCACGTGTTCTGATAATAATAGCTTTCTAGGCCTAAACATTATTTGGATAATTGGTAAAAAAATTTTTTTTAAATATCTTAACCCTACTGTTAGACCTCATGGAAAAACTAAAAAGCAATTTATTTAATTCGAAGGCCTGTAGTTATTTTTTATTTGTGCTATCATTATTAATTTCTTTATTTGTTCTTAATTTATTACTGACTGCTTACTTGACATTTTTTATTAAATTCAAAGTTTGAAATCAAGCTATCTCGTGCTTACTGCACCAAAATTACCCCACTGTAAAATAAAAAAAAACACTTGAGTGAGCAAAAATTTGTGAGATAGCTAGTTATAATGGTAATTAAATAATGTTTACATATGTATAAAAGCCTACATTAAAATCTGTCATATAAATTGGTCTCTTCATTAGAAATTAGCCTACTGATTGCCACCATTGATGGACAAAATGTTTTAATAATATTAAAAATATCTGTATGACATTATATTCTGCAGTTCTTCCCTGTTGTACCGAATATCTATACTTTTCAAATTATCACATCGAAGTTAGAAATTCAAATATTGTGACAAAATTAATTTTGTAGGGTGCCACAAGTTTGTTAAAATTTCCAAAGGGTGCCGCGACTAAAAAAAAGGTTGGGAAACACTGGTTTAGAGTGTGTTTACAGCTTTATTATACTCGTGAGGGCCAAATGTCCTCACAAATATAGTGACATAACTTGATTACCATGACAAAAACCAAAGACATTTGTGCCTCAGATTCCAGATTTTCAAATAGTTTTATCTCGGCCAAATATTGTCCTATCCTAACAAACCATACATCAATGGAAAGCTTATTTATTCATAAAAATTGACCCTTGACTGGTTTTGTGGTCCAGGGTCACATTTGGTCTTTACTATTTAAAAGACTCAAAAGATGTTTTGCCTTATGTCTAATAACATCAGCAGGTTTTAGAGTAGTTTAGGTATAAAAAAACATTGATGTGAAGTTCTCACTAATATAGATTCAAAAGGCCATGTGTATGTTCTAAATGCATAAAATATCCACAACCACACACTGACATTTTGATGAATTTCTTTTTTATTTCATTTGGAGTTGCACCTATTAACTATTTAAGTCAGTAATATTTGGTTTTGTAACATTTAAATTTATGTCTGTCAAAGCACTGCAATTTTAGAGTCCCACACATCTAGTTTTCTGTTGTTAATGTTCATTATTGTTTTCAGTCAGTCATAATAACCAGAGGTCTTCAACCTTTTTCATGCAAAGGACTTTGTTATGGTGCTTACATTGCGAAGTCATTACCATACTCATTATTGATGCACAGGGTCTTGTATGGTGTTTTAATTTTACTTTAAATTGTAATGTGGGAGGGAAAATAAAACATTTAGTTGAACTTTACTGCAATAGAAAGGCAAAGTTACACACTCTGTTTTCTTTGAATCTGAGCATATTTGAACCAATCCCATCTGGCATTATCTAAAAGACTTAAAATGTGTTACTGCATTTTTTGCTTAATGCATAATTTCATTTTTCCTGGTCTTATAATTAATAACCCTGTGAAGATACTCTCTGGCATCAAGTTGCAATAATTTGTTCTATCAATTGCCAAACACACCAAAAGAAATCCATTCTTTTTGTAGACAGATCTGAGATCTCATCATAATAACATTTCAGGTCAACCTCTTAAATGAAAACCTGAAAATGGAGGATTTGCTAAATAAAGCCTGTCTATGTAATGGCAGTACTTGCATTCAGTAATGCCATGCCTTGCGGATACAAATATCACTGTCGAATCTTCTAGAGCTTTCAGCTGCAGATCGTAACTGCTGAAACGGAGACCATTTTACCCCGTGCCACACTTAAACAGTCTTTGCAGCCAGAGAGGTGTTTGTGAAAGTGACAGACGCACCCACAGGTGAGCTGTGAACTCGACTGAAATCTTGCACATCCTTTTAACACATAGCAGCATGATGCAAGATTTCCCAGCTAACACTCATTTACAGGATTTCACAAATGCTAAGCTTCTAGAACAGATCTGTTATAAATGGTCAATGGCCATGACGGATTCAGATTCAGACTGTGCCAAAAACCAGCAGTTAAACGGACGGGCAAATGGGCCACAGTGGATTTGCAAGAAAAAATAAACAAACAAAACTTGGTAGTATGGATGTGGGATTAGCTTGATTTCAGTGGAATTGCACTGAAAATAAAAGGGACTCTCATATAATGCAAATATAGTCATTGGTGGTCTAGAAAATGCAAAAAAAAATAAAAATATATATATACTGTATATATATATTAATGCAAAATAATTAAAGGATTCAAGTCATCAGGGTCAGCTATGGGGTGGAATCTCTGCCAGGATGTTTTTTATTTATTTATTTATTTTTACTTTTTTTTTTTTAAGTTATATTTGTGCCATTTTTGCCATTATTTGAATAGGACAGTTAAAGAGAGACAGGAAACAGAGAGGAGAATAGGACTGGGAAAGGACCAAGAGCCAGGACTCAAACTCGGGTCACCCAAATGCTGTTGCACCATATGTCTGAGCACTGCCCACAAAGATAGCAGAGCTGTGGTTGTCAGAAGTTTGCCATAAAAATCATGGAGACAGTGTTTCAGTTTTACTACTTCAAACCAAATATTTAATTATATGATATAATCTTATATACCAAGTCTATTTGAAATCACAATCTGATTTTTAGCTTTAAAAAAATGTACTGATAACCACCATGATAATACAGGTGGTAAAACAGAAAGCCACACAACTTCTGGGAATGTCATTATATTGTTTTTCACTCTAAATTATATGGTAATTCATGGTTTTTACTTGTAAAAACCATACACTTGACAGATTTTACAGTAAAATTACATATAATGCAACGTAAAAGATGTACAATCACTCTTGAATGGTACAGTAACTTAACCAATTAGCAGATTTTTAGCAACATTTTGATGAAATATTTCAAAACATTTAAAAAAAAAATAAACATAGTCACGGATTGGTGCCGATAGCCTTATGGGCAGCGCGCCGATATATAGTGCCGTTGCACTTTGGGCGTCCTGAGTTCGAGTCCTGGCTTGTGTACCCTTCCTGATCCTGTCCCCCTCTCTCGTTCCCACTTCACTTCCTGTCTCGTTACTGTCCTGTCATAATAATAAATGCCAAAAATGCCAAAAATAAATCTTTGAGTAAAAAAAACATCAGATAAATTGTTCAGAGTAAGATCTATAACATGCATTTAAAAAATAGATAGGGTGAATTTTCATTTCATGCCACAACTCCTAAAGGATGTGCCATCTGCGAATCTGATGGCTTAGTCCACTAGGCGGCAGCACTCAGTTTGACTGCTGCTTTTTAAGAGCTACTCGAAATGGCAACAAAAATCAGAAAACTTACGTGAAGACAACAATAATGTATGTGAGAAGGTCAAAAGGTTCCTGCATTTGTACAGTTCAAGTTTGAAACAATAAAAAGATGACACAACTGTCTTCTGCAGGTCAGGTGAAATAGTCAAAGTAAACATTCGTCTAATATACTAACTATACTATATCCATACTAACTAATGGTCAGTAAAGTTTACTAAAAATCCTAAAACACTCAACTGCGTGCAAGATGTAAAAGCAAACCCCAGATTTTTGTAAGATATTTCTCAGCCGTCTCACAAAAGATGCATATCCTCCCATCCAGGGGGGTTAAATCTGTCTGATCGGTGGACTCACAAAGGTGGCAATGAAATCAAGTCAAGACAAGTACCCAGACGAGATTAAATTCCCAGCTGAGGTTTCCAAGACGCCCATGAACGTCACTCCCACTTTTTACAGCG